GGCAGTGATGGACTCATGGATATCTGTGCCCATCAAGCCTCCCTACTGTACTGCAGCAATAAAGGACGTGTGGCACCATTGGCCGTGCTGGCCATGTGCTTGGCCAGACCCTCATCTGATGCTGCACATGGGTTTTGGTGATGTTACCACACCCATTTGTACTACTTACTCTATGCTTATCTTTCTGCCATCAGAAAGATATCAAAATAATAAAATTAATCTAATTGTGGCTCCTTGTGAGACTGGCTTAGTTCCCGTTTAGGAGGTGGCTTGTGATTGACAGAGAAATGTTTTATGATGAGAGTAAAATATGGTCAGTGTGCCTCTGTGTTTTGCCCTCCTGACTGGAAGCACATTTTCATCATCTTGACAGATCCCAAAGAAGCCTATTTAAAGCAGCTGTGCTGGGACAGACTGGCTGGGATAAGGGAAGAAGCCAGCCATTGGTGGCTCAGGAGAAAGTCTACACAAACAGAGCTAGGCAAAGCTCCAGTCGTATTGCTTTGGTGAAAAAAGTCTTTAGGTTCTCTGTAATTAAGGAAAAGGGTTAAGAAAGAAGTGCCGAAAGATCTAGGAAGCAGAGTTTTATGGTATGTTAAATAATGTTCAGCTTGATAGTTTATAATCAAGAAAGGAGCGTTTTAGGAGTTATAGCTGTTTTAGGAGTTTATGAGCAATTTAAAATTTATCATCACATTAATACACGTGAAATATTATGAATAATAGCCATTCTTTGTAAAATACTTTTTCTTCCTCATGAGAAAATGTGACTGTTTTCATTGCAGTGAAATCACCAAACTATTACAATGCAAACTTAATGCAAGAAACTTTAGAGTTAATGTGCCAAAATTATTTAACCTCTTTCTATCCCTCAGAAATAATCCCTTATAATACATTGTTACATGCATATACCGTTTTATATACATGAATCTATTCATTCCCACAGACTAACAGAATAACAATACAGGCCAAGGAACCCAAATATTCAGTTTATAGAAGGCCAAGAACCAAGAGGCATATAAAAAATGTCTCTGGGCATAAAATTTTTGAAAAATTATACACATATAAACTGTCAACTTCTATAGAAAACATGCTTAACTATAGACCAAAGAGTTTAGGTTAATTAGAAAGCCCTTCCTGATAATGAGAATTGGTAAAGTGAATGGGTTACGGGGCAGGTCTTCATAGGCCGAAGGAAGAATGTTGTTTTATGATATGATGGACCTGGAATGTATAAACAGTCAGAATAATCCAGCATTATCCCTCAAAAAAATCTCACCTTCATATCCAATGGAAGAAAGTGGATTTTTTCCCCCCAAAACTCAATTTGCTTAGCACCTTGTCCTAACACTTCATCGTTTTGCCTCACCTTATTTAGCCATCTTGAGTGAGATTATAGAATATTCTTTGGTGGTCTTTACAGAGGGTAAGTTCACTGATTAAAATAAGATAGGTATGTCCTGCTTGAAAGCTGATTTAAAACTAGAGAACTACCAACATGAGTTCTCTTTTATGTTGAATTATAAAATAAAGTGGAGTTATTCTTTTTTTCATCCTTTCACATTAAAACGGTGAGATGATGGCGGATTTATGTGATTATTATAGACAGGTTTATTCTTGTCATTAGTCCATAGTGATCCCAGGCAGGTTGAAATCTTGGGAGAGTCTGAATGAGTCTGAGTTCACAACGGTGGTGTCAAAAACCACAGCCTACAGGCCAAAAGCACAGGTGTAAGAATCAGACAGGTCTGGGTTGAGGAATAGCTCAACTTGCTAGGTATGACCTTGGACGATCAACTTCTTATTCTCCAATTGCTAATATGTAAGTAAGTATAGTATTATCAACTCTTTAGGACAATCATTAGGCTTAAATGAGGAAACAGATTTCAAACACTCAGCACGGAGCTTAGCACAGAGAACAACTGATCAGTATTAGCATTTAGTATCACACTTGGTTTACTTTCTTATTTCTGTGGCTTACAATGGGTGCTGGTTCCAACAGTTATAGCGGAGGATGCGATTCCCTGACCAACCCCATTTCTTTCCTCTTCTTTGAAGTTAGAACTAAGGAGGCTGTGGAAAAAGCACCACCTGGTGCCTAGACAATCATTTACCATATGCTGCTGGCCCCTCACACAAGATTGTCTATGTAAGCTCAGGGGCTTTTCTTTTTAAGATCTCTCTTCCAAGTTCAAAGACTTATCCTTCCAAATAATATGTGCTACAGTCACAGTTTATGATGTCATGTTTGCTGTAATGCTTTGTTGTTGCTGAGGAATTCACAACCTCAGTCACTGCTTAGATCTTAAAAGAATTATAAGGGGAAGTCAAACTCCATTCTTCAGTAAAATACAGCAGAACAACTAGGAGTAGTCTCACTGAGCAATAAAAGCATAAAAAGCTTAAAAAATACATCTATCTTTAGGTCATTAAGCTTACAGAGTCAATCTAGATTCTTTGATTTGACTAGGACCCTAACCTAATGAGATATTTTAAAAATAAGCTAAATCAGCCACATTTTAATCTATGTACACCTCTAGCCATGGATTTCTAAAACTGTATCCAACATGAGTATGATATTGTGTTATAATATTGCCTCAAATCCAAGATGCATTTTTTAATTTTTATATTCTGGTAATTAGGCTGTTTTATGATCAGGATGTATGGTCGTGTTGCAGTGGTTCTTTCTCCTTAAAAACTGATGTTAAACCAATATATCTTGTAACTGATGGAGGCTTAGGTTTATGGAAAGATGGAATTCTAAAATCATATTGCTTTGTGATGATGTTACCTAAGGTGATTACTCTTACTCTGTGATAACTTAATGATAGGCCAAAAAAAAATTTTTTTTTTGAATATAAAAGAAAGATAATCCAAGAGGTTTCATTAAGATTGATATTATTTGGGCATATCTGGATATGTGAGTCATCACTCTAGTTAATGTTTGGACTGTTTCAACATTACATTAAAAGGCCCTCAGATTTCTTCAAATGAGATAGGAAATATGTTTGATAGCAAAAGATCCAAGGAAGAGCAAAAAGCCTCCCCCACCAGCTTCCAGATTCCTTTTTCCTAACTCTTAGGGGACCTCCTTCTTTTGAGAGTCCCTGTGAAGAGCCAGGGTGGTAGGAGCCATAGCTATCACCATCAGGCGGTAGGATTGTACTTTCATGTGCTGCTATACACCATTGCAAGACTGACATATACAGTGCAGCGCCCACCAAAGCAGTTACTCAATAAGTGCCTTCTGGCTCACTGATGCGAAATACAAAATTATGTCCTAATTAGGCATACACATAGCTTTTAACAGTTGGGGAAAACCAAATTTCTATGTTCCCTCTTTCCTTTTATCTTACTAAAAATGCTTTGAATTAATTTTTGGAATTTTACACAAATAAAAGCCACCAATAAATCAAACCCTAAAAGTTCCTTTTCCCTAAAACAATTTTAAAAGGCATAACTCCCTTTTATATTTTGGTAATAAACATGAAAATTACCCCACCTAAAGGTGGAACACCACGTTCATAAAACACTTGGATCAGAAATGGAAAACTCAATTGTAAGTTTATAAACAGTAAAATGTGATGTTAAAAGCTGATGATGTGAAATATTGATCCTGGACCAATTAACTTGAAATGACTGAAATTACTGGCAATGATTATTTCAGGAACACTGACTTATCAACTATATGGCAAGTTGGTTTGCAAATATTTTAGTCAGTTATATTGAAAAATAGTAACCCATATATAATTGGAAAAGAAAAAAATGTAAAAACAACAAAAAGAAGGTAAAAGAGAGGGAAGGAGGAAGGAAAGGGATTTATCTTAAAATATTTAATCCAAATCTTTTTAAAATTCCTCATCTCTAAAACAGTGTACATTTCAAAAAGGGAAAAGTTCTCTGAATACCAATATTCCGTTAGGCACAAAACCAGCTTTTAGATATTAAAAATTATTTACATGCCTATTGTCTACAAATTGTGATTAAAAAGCAAACTCCAAATACTATTGAATCCATTTTCTTATTTGCTACCTAATTCCATCAGCGCTATCTGAAAATATAAGAACCACAGGGCTTACAAAGAGGAGAAATAAGGTGATTTGTTTTTGCCCATTTTTTTTTACCCACTTACAGAAGAATTAGATAAACTATACGCTTGATATTTCAAAATCAAAATAATGTAAAGTCCTCCTCCTTTTTCCTTTGAGCATATTGATAAGCATAATAAAAAAAACATTCTTTTTTATTCTTTTCATGTTGTTTGGCCCAATAGTTTCAGGACCTTTATATTAGCTTATATTAGGCTGAAGAGGGGGGAATACCCACAAAATTCCCACCGCAACAGAACAAACTGTCATTGAGTTACAGAGAATTTACAATCAGGATACATGTATATGACTATCAGTATGCATGTGTTTTTTTGTTTTTTTTTTTTTGTCTTTTTTCGTGTCCGGCAACGGATCGCAACCCTCAGTGTCGCGCCGGTACCGGACCGGGACCGGCAACGGGATCGCAACCCTCGGCGTTGCACCCGCACCTCGCTCAGCCAGTGAGCGGGAACCGGTCTGTATGTGGGATCTGAACCCTCGGTGGGAGCGCCGCCGCGCTTCTCAAGCGGCGCACTGTAGCAGTGCGCCACCAGGCCGGCCCATGATGTTTTACAAATATTCTACAAATGTTTTTGAGTATGACACATCCCGGCTTATTATCCTGTATTTGGTATACTCCCACTTGGAAGTCTCGTACTTACACTTATTCAAGAACCCTGGTTAAGAACAGAAGGCAGAGGAAACTGATCACTTCTTGCCTCCAAATGTCTTACCTGCCTATGCTTAATTGATTTATAAAGCTCAGATAAATGCTATTTCCAAGCAAGCTGTCAGTTATATCAAACGATTTTGAAAGAGATAAGGAAAAGCCATGTCTTAAATTGTTTGTAAAAGGCCTCACTTGAAATTCATGTCAACTTTCCATTCTGCAAAGCAACTCATTCACATTAAAAGAGTCAAAAAGGACTTCATTTAATTAGTGATATGTAAAGACTTTTGCATAGAAAAAGGTTACAAAGTAATGCAAAAAAGACTAGGTACAGTAATTTTAAAACAAATATTTTAAAGTATAATTTTGCATAATGTTTAACATTCTTATGTTATTTATTGCTTTCTCCACACAGCAGAGAAATGAAGTGCATAATACATGCTGTGTCTCTTTCAAACATAAAATCTCACGTGCTCAATTTCAATGTATTAAGAGATTATTTTGTCATTAAACAAAATCAAAACAAAACAAAACCACCATTATGTAGCACTAGCCTAGGCATGGGCAAAAATAATTTATATACATCCCACTGCATACATTCATCTTGATTTGGGATCAAATGCAATTACAAACTTGACAAAGAGCATTTAAAACCTGTGGCTTTTCTCTTCCCAATGATCCCTCCTTGTCTCATCACCTCCAGAAATGCAAGTTCTCCCAAAAGGTGACAAGAATGGATGTTACATATTATCAGGAGAAAATGAAGAGAACATATAAAAATAGTCCAAATGAAACTGAATAAATTAATCCAAACTCTTACAAACTGGAGAGTTCTCAACTTGGCATGAATCAAATAGCCTCTGGTGGGCACACAGTAGGCAACTGCTCCTAGGTGCACTTTATAACTGTGAGGTTTATATAAAGAAGCACCATATTTTGAGCCATCCAAACAAAAAGTGTCTGGGGGCTTGCAGGCAGAGCAGAAATGCTTGTTAATCTGGGCACTGATGGAATAATTGCTTATACGGATGCATTGCTAAATGTCACCTCTTGGCAAGTCTGTACAGAGAAGCAAACTAAGATAAAACGGTTTTTCAACTTGAAAATTATTTTCAGCAATCCTTTTGACCAATAAAATCTGTTGATTTCAGCATAGTACTCTTCTCTGGCACTGGATTAAAATGATAATGCAAGACTTCTGTCCCTTTCCTTTAACCTAACGGCCACACTCTTCTTCATGTGTGCAATGTTATATATTCAGAAGAAAACTTCGCTAGCTCAGGCACTTATGAAACACATTCCCCACCCCCATCTAGCTTCAAGAGAATTCAGTCAGGGTATTTTCTTCCCCAATTCAGACATACTGATGCACTGCGGGATGGTACAGTCCATATATTTTCCAGGAAACTTCTAAATGGAAGCAAGTGTGAAGTTTTCAAAAGTTGCTGATGTCAGTCACCAAGCTGCCTTAAACAAAAAAACTGCAAAAAGATAATACCACATTTCCACTCGTGAGGTTTGTGTCTCAAATAGCTTTATTGTCCCTTTGTGGATTTGCATGGCTACTTTCAGGGTGCAGAGGTTTTAAGCAGACTCTGAAATGAAGGACATTCAGTTAGGACTGCAAGAAATTCAACGAAAACTTAAAAAGCTCCAACTTCTGTCCCCCAGGGTCGGTAAGGTTTACTGTTTGTTGTGCTGCTGGTCTGCTGAGGACTGGACGCTGCTGACACCGACAAGGGCGGGCTGATGGCTGTTGCGGCTGCCACTGCCGCAGCTGCGTTTGGGGGGAGCATGGGGAAAGCCCCGGCGAAGGACAGAGGGAAGCTGTGTGCTGCTGCGGTGGCTGCTGCGGCTGCGGCATGGACAGTGGCCGAGAGGGACAAGAGAGAAGTGGACAGAGGTGGCACGCAAGGGGCCACGCTGCCGGTGGACGGCATCCGAAGGGCAGAATCTGCATGAGCAAAGGTGGCCGTGAGGAGAGCAGAGCCGTGGGCAGGAGGCACTTCTGAAGTTGTGGAGAGGCGGCAAGGGGTTGCCTCGGAGGCGTGGAGTCCATTGGGTTGCAGCAGCGCCGCGGGCAGATGGTGGAAGGCCGCCGCCCAGTGGTGTGGGTGCAGGGCGTGGTGGTGGTGGTGGGCCAACGACGACGTCATTGCCGCCGCCTCCCGCTGGGAGGCGCACGTGCTGAGATGAGAGACCAGCCGCACACGCAGCGGGTCCGAGGAGTCCAGGCCCTCCACGGAGCTCAGGTACCTTGCCACTTCTGTTAAGCACTCTCGGAATCCGATGCTCATGAAGTCCATGGCGAGAGCGTGCGCATCAAAGTAGCCTAAAAGGGGGTTTGAGTAAAGTGGGGGAAAGAGAGAGATTGAGAGGGAGAGATTGGGGGG